CACAATGTTGACTTACCTTAGAACAGATGTAGACATCATTGTTAATCTTATTCACGTTGAGTTGATGTTGTGGTCTAACGTTACCACACAACTTTATCCAAAGGAGACACTTTTCTCGGTTGAGATGTGGTTTAAAGTGTAAAAATACACCTGGTCGCCCAGCCTCTCAGGATACCTTGTGTCAGAGTTGCATGTACCCCATGCACACCGTTTGACCATTTTTAAACTTCAAATCTCAGAAAAAGCTCATAAAACCGAACAAACTGACTTTCTGTAATGCATTTCAATGGATGTCCAGGCAGAGAATGTCCCAGTGTATGGGAATGGATATACGCACTGTGATTGGCTCATTGCGTTTGAGGGCGGGACTTTTTGGCTTCATGCACCACCGAGCAACTCTAATAGGAAAGAACAGGGGACCTCCTCCAATGCTGTATCCAGGTCTCCTCATACATCCATGTACAGAAACCACCATGTTAGCTCTATTAGTCAGTATAGATGTAGCTAGCTAGATTTACGTTGTGCTCAGGCGGGACTTGAACCCTCAACCTTCTGTAGCGAACAGACCAAAGACAGGAGACGAGTTTACCGTGACTTTTATCTTGAAAGGCATTGCCAGAGAATGTGTTTATTATTCCCACTCACTTTACCGTCTGACCCGCTCACCCTGGGCTGCACAGTCCTGCTCGGAGCTGGTGTCCGGATCAGCAGAACGTTCAAAAAACAAGCAAAATAACAATGCGACTCTAATTACCGACCAAATGTAGGGATGACATTAAATTCATATCATTTCTGAATCTGTCTGAGCCTTTCGTGTAATTCGGCAATCACATAACTCGCCAAAGAGCACGTGTTAAAGTATTACTTTAATTCTATCCAGGTATTCAGGCCGCCTCTCAGCAGACACCACAGGGTTGCTCATTGACGTGAATTAGACAGAAAGGAAATGCAGTCTGGTGAGAGTTAAATTCTCCTTAAAATACAGCAATTTGACACAACACTGTGTTTTTACAGCTGCCGTGGTGTCTCAGCACTTCGTCTCACACAACTTCATCTGACTTTTTCATCAATTTGTGGGTTTTTGTTCAGTTTTTCATGGATAGATGAATCTTGTTCTTGTTGTTTCATCTTGTTTCACCTGATCTCGATCACCAAAACACAAATATCACTAAAATCACATAATAATAATAATAAAAATCATATTTTTATGAAAAGTGAGAACGCTTCACGATTGTGCGTGTCATCCTTGCGCCAGGGGCCATGCTAATCTTCTCTGTATCGTTCCCACTTTAGTACATGTGTTATAGATCATAACACACTGAGCAGGTGTCTCCTGTCTCCTACATGAAGTGGGTCAGTCCATGTGGAGTCTGAGCCAGGGTTTCAGCTCAGAGAGACTCTGACAGGACATGAAGGTTTTAAAAGACAGAACAGAGCACCAGAGTGAAGCCTGACAGCTGATGAACAAATGTGTTGCATATACTACTGGACTCAGTGACCCCCTCCACCCTCTCTCTGACCCAGGTCCTGGTTCTGGGTCCTGGTCCAGAGCTGAGAGGGATTGTGGGACTTCTTTGCAGAGCTGCTGTTATGTCAGGAGCTGCAAGGCGAGGAGAAAATCTTACCCTATCTTATCTGGGGGGAGATAATATACACAAACACATGAAACAAGACATATAAAAAATACAGTCCTTAAATAACCAAATCAGGAAAAAGAACAGAAATAAACAAAACAAAAGAAGAATTTTTTTAATGAAAAGTTTAAATTATTTTCATAAAATTGTTGATATCACAAAAACAGAAGATTTTCTTTTTATACATATTTATATCTGTCTGTATAATAATCTACCCTGAACGTCACACACACGTTTTCCTGAAGACAGGAAGTGAAACCAAACTTCCTTTTGCTTTCAGATTAACTTGTAGTTCCGCAGACTGACCACCAGGTGTCAGTGTGTGACCGCTGCGTGCAGGGACGTGATGGCGCTGCTGCACGTGAGTGTTGATTTGACTAAAAACTTCGATATTTCTAATAAATATATTGAAGTGTTTCAAGTAACTTTGTTAAAGAAGAATAAATCTCCAAAACAACAGCTTCCTGTAGTATGTAGATGTTTAACAGCAAATGTTTAACCCGGTTTACACTTAAAATTCTGACTACGTTGTTTTGCTTTTCAGCAAATTTTCAAGCTTTGTCAGAATGTAAAACTAACTTTTTCTAAATCCAGAGGTTGTACTGAGTAATTCGGCACACATGCCGTACACAATAGGCAGCACTAAATCTGATTAAACTTACATATTTTCCGTTTGGCTTTGCTGTCATGCATTTAACGTTACTGTGAAAGAGTCTCAAACTAATTGAAAATCTAAGTTATTTTAAAAAGATGTCTTGTTTAAATGTTTATTTCTGTGCCGAATTTATCCAAAGACTGAAATGCTTAGGAAAATTTCAAAAAGCTGTTTTTGAAAGATGTTTTAGTTGCCCATAAAGAAGGTATACGGAAATTCACATGATATCTAAAGGGAGTTTGGCGTGTCGTTCCCCAAACTGCAGCCACAGGCAGACCCTGCTTACGTAATATCACCGATAAATAAATGTAGCCTAATGATTTTAAATACAAATTTAAAGCAAGAATTTAGCTCCAAAACAACAGCTCTATTATATGCAGACTTAACAGACAATGTTAAAACTTAAATTTCCGATAATTTAAAGTTCTTTTGCTGTTCGGCAAATTTCCAAACTTTGTCAGCATGTCAAACGGACTTTTTCTAAATCTAGATGTTGTACTGAGTAATTCGGCACACATACCGTACACAATAGGCAGCAGTAAATTTAATTGAACTTACATATTTCCTCTGCTTGGCTTGTTGGTCATGCACCTGACGTAATAAACTGCCAGCGGACAACGCAAAAAAATGTGTTATTTGTTTAAAAGATGTCTTTCTCTGAGGATCATTTGTATGCCGATTTAAATCAAATACCTAAATGGTTCGGGAAATATGTCAAAGTCATTGTAGAAAGACAATAATTAGTCTCCAATAGACAATTGTACATTAATTGACATGATTTCTAAAAGGAGTCTGGTGAGGCAATCCCCAAACCGCTGCCAAAAGCAGATCCTGCTTTAATTATGACGTCAATTTAACAATATTTTGCTTTTAGGTAAATCTTAACGATTCTTCATAACAGCTTTGGGCTTTTTTGAAAATCTAGGAGTTATACTGAGCATTTCGGCTCACATTAAATACACCTGAAGCAGCGGTAAATACACTCAACTCATTTTCTGTTTTAGCTTGGCTCATCCATCCAGTGAACCATTAAACTACCGATGATTTGGAAACCCAGATTAAAGTTTTGTTTTGTTTTTGTATTTTATGGATGCCCATTTTATTGTAGGCTATTATTATTTATTAATTTAGTGTAAAAAACGTCCCTGTAAACACTGTTTAGTTTTACCTGTATTACTGTTGAGTGTTTGGTGACATGACAGTTAAAGCCTGATTTGATTTGCTCCAGTGCAGCTCTAAAAAGGAGGACAGGTGTCCCTTTGCTCATTGTCACTTCCTGTCAACGTTACAGATCAGAAGTACAGAGAGTTGTTGACTAGAGATGATAGACCGTCTCATCGTGGTCACTTCCTGTCAACCGGCTGGTTTTTACTACGATGCAAAACAGAGCGTTGACAGTAGCTGTGGTCAATCTTAGGTCTGAACTGGGTTTAACATCTCTGGAGAGTTTTTCCTTCTCTGAATGGAGGAGAGTTTTGCTGAAGCAGCTTGAGACATTATTGAGCACTTGACACAGAAACTGTGGATCTGTGTGTCTGTCAGTTGTCGGTCTGGTTGAACACATCGTGCAGCGTTTTGTTCTCCTTGTACAAGACAAATCCTTCATACTAATGAAAATCTATTAGTAGAGAAAGTTTCCACGACCTCAAAGCACCAGAGACCATTCAGACATGTGGAGTCGTCCTTTCACACCTCTGACTGAACCACATCAAACCCTGTGGCAGCTGATGAAAAACATATTTTCTCGTATGTTTGACACTAATTTTCCTGTCTGTACAAACAGTTCCTACACACACAGTGCATGTTAATGGGTGTAGCTGCCTCCTCCTCCTACTCCCTTTTTTATGAATGAGACACACACACACACACAGTGATGTCAGCAACAAGCCCATCCCCCACTGATGCGGGAAAAACCTCACGATCAGGAAGAGAGAGGCATCCTCATGTTTCCCATATGTCTCTCTTCCTCTCTCAGAGCGGGAGTCGGGTGAGCAAACGTCACCTCCCCTCCTCCCCCACCCCTCCATCCTCCCTCCATCCTCCCTCCCTCACCAGCCTGAGGATGAGTAATCCAAAGAGAGAGAGAGAGAGAGGGGAGGGGGATACCAGCACAGCATCAGCATCATCATCATCATCAGTGAACGTGCAGGACGTGGGGATGAAAATTCAAAACCTCTCAGCTCAGTCTTGTCCTCCTAATTCCTGGACTGTCACATGCTGCATACAAGAGAAAGAAAGGATGAGGTGAATTCGTACAGCACGTTCTGCAGGCACTGGCACTGGCTAATCACTGGAGAGACGAGAACCAGAGAAAAGACCAAAGGAACAGAAAGGATTTTTGGGCTGCTCACTTGCATGTGGAGCGTCACAGACTAATCTCTGGAAGAGCTGGACAAGAGGGGAGGCACCGTGGCTTGTCTCAGTGGATGATACCTGACTATTTCATGGATAGGTGATTAATTGTCTCGTCTTTTGGACTGTGGGGACAGACTACATCCTGAACAGCAAGCCTCCCCTTTCACTATCTATCCTAACAAACTGGCTATTCAGAAAATCTGTCCTACTCCTCCTCATGTGGTGTGTCAGAGGCTGGGATCTGGCTAATATCTGGACTCACTGATTCAGAGCAGCACCGACACACTAACTGGACTACCTTCTGTATTACAGCCTCCTCCTACGACCAGGTTAATCTCTGGATCAACGTGTCTGGCATGTTCTGCTTCTGCCTGCAGAGTTCCCTGCTGAAGCTTCAGGCGCTGGAGGTGGAGGGGGGCCCCTCGCTGGGTCCGTCCCCAGAGGAGAGCCCCCCTGCCCTGGGCAGCAAGGAGCAGAAGAGCCCCTGTGGGTCAGTGGAGCTTGGAGGGAAAGATGGGAAGACGCTGGCTCTCTGCCACAGCATCCCAGCTGATGAAAACAGCCCCCCAGGTACATACACCTGTCTGTCTGTCCGCCTGTCTGTTTGTCCAATAATTCTGTCTTCTAGACCCTAAAACAAAACATCTGTGACTTTAACAAAGCAGCCCCGACTGTCAGCGGTGTGGTCACTATGAAGTGTGACTGAAGGTAGTGGTAGAAATACTACTACTGGTAGTAAGTTAATAGTTCACAGTGTCCCACCACTCGGTCACATCAGCGTACCATTTCCAGTTGTTGGGACGTACTACTGCAGGTAAAAACAGTTTCTAGATTTCCGTATTTAAAGAACAATTCTTTGCACTTGTGTTCCTCATGAACTCAAATATGTTTTCATTCACAAACAGATGTGTCATGAGTCGTGCAGGTTACATGTTATCTGAGATAAAAAGTTGCGGATTCGCACACTGACATGTTCTCGTCATCCTGCACAGTAAATACACTCCATATGGTACAGAAACGTGATCACCGGTGTTTCTGGTGAGACTGCTTATTCTGCACAGCACGCCACCAGCCGAGCTCCACGTCTGTGTGTGTGCTGCTGCTATTTATAGTACAGCATACAGAAGTAAAACACTCTGCAGCACATGAGACACACTCACTGACTGCCTGCTTCTACTCAGGTCTCCTTCATCACTGTGGTTGTTTTTCATATATGTGTATATGTACACGTGTGTGTGTATATGTGTGTACACATATATAGTGTTGGTCCTTGAGGTGATTGTAGAAGAGTTTTAGGTGGCAATATAGTAGGTTTTGGTGAGCTTTTGGGACGTTCTAGAGAGCATTAAGGTTGTTTTTGGGATCATTAAGGTTGTTCTAGGGATCATTGAGGGTGCTCTAGGGATCATTGAGGGTGTTCTAGGGATCATTGAGGGTGCTCTAGGGATCATTGAGGGTGTTCTAGGGATCATTGAGGGTGCTCTAGGGATCACTGAGGGTGTTCTAGGGATCATTGAGGGTGCTCTAGGGATCATTGAGGGTGATCTAGGGATCATTGAGGGTGCTCTAGGGATCATTGAGGGTGTTCTAGGGATCATTGAGGGTGCTCTAGGGATCATTGAGGGTGTTCTAGGGATCATTGAGGGTGCTCTAGGGATCATTGAGGGTGTTCTAGGGATCATTGAGGGTGCTCTAGGGATCATTGAGGGTGTTCTAGGGATCATTGAGGGTGCTCTAGGGATCATTGAGGGTGTTCTAGGGATCATTGAGGGTGCTCTAGGGATCATTGAGGGTGTTCTAGGGATCATTGAGGGTGCTCTAGGGATCATTGAGGGTGTTCTAGGGATCATTGAGGGTGCTCTAGGGATCATTGAGGGTGTTCTAGGGATCATTGAGGGTGATCTAGGGATCATTGAGGGTGCTCTAGGGATCATTGAGGGTGATCTAGGGATCATTGAAGGTGTTCTAGGAATCATTGAGGGTGATCTAGGGATCATTGAGGGTGCTCTAGGGATCATTGAGGGTGTTCTAGGGATCATTGAGGGTGCTCTAGGGATCATTGAGGGTGATCTAGGGATCATTGAGGGTGCTCTAGGGATCATTGAGGGTGTTCTAGGGATCATTGAGGGTGCTCTAGGGATCATTGAGGGTGATCTAGGGATCATTGAGGGTGCTCTAGGGATCATTGAGGGTGTTCTAGGGATCATTGAGGGTGCTCTAGGGATCATTGAGGGTGATCTAGGGATCATTGAGGGTGCTCTAGGGATCATTGAGGGTGTTCTAGGGATCATTGAGGGTGCTCTAGGGATCATTGAGGGTGATCTAGGGATCATTGAGGGTGCTCTAGGGATCATTGAGGGTGTTCTAGGGATCATTGAGGGTGCTCTAGGGATCATTAAGGGTGATCTAGGGATCATTGAGGGTGCTCTAGGGATCACTGAGGGTGTTCTAGGGATCATTGAGGGTGATCTAGGGATCATTGAGGGTGCTCTAGGGATCATTGAGGGTGTTCTAGGGATCATTGAGGGTGCTCTAGGGATCATTGAGGGTGTTCTAGGGATCATTGAGGGTGCTCTAGGGATCATTGAGGGTGTTCTAGGGATCATTGAGGGTGCTCTAGGGATCATTGAGGGTGTTCTAGGGATCATTGAGGGTGCTCTAGGGATCATTGAGGGTGTTCTAGGGATCATTGAGGGTGCTCTAGGGATCATTGAGGGTGTTCTAGGGATCATTGAGGGTGCTCTAGGGATCATTGAGGGTGTTCTAGGGATCATTGAGGGTGCTCTAGGGATCATTGAGGGTGCTCTAGGTATCATTGAGGGTGTTCTAGGGATCATTGAGGGTGCTCTAGGGATCATTGAGGGTGATCTAGGGATCATTGAGGGTGCTCTAGGGATCATTGAGGGTGTTCTAGGGATCATTGAGGGTGCTCTAGGGATCATTGAGGGTGTTCTAGGGATCATTGAGGGTGCTCTAGGGATCACTGAGGGTGTTCTAGGGATCATTGAGGGTGATCTAGGGATCATTGAGGGTGCTCTAGGGATCATTGAGGGTGTTCTAGGGATCATTGAGGGTGCTCTAGGGATCATTGAGGGTGTTCTAGGGATCATTGAGGGTGCTCTAGGGATCATTGAGGGTGCTCTAGGGATCATTGAGGGTGTTCTAGGGATCATTGAGGGTGCTCTAGGGATCATTGAGGGTGATCTAGGGATCATTGAGGGTGCTCTAGGGATCATTGAGGGTGTTCTAGGGATTATTAAGGGTGATCTAGGGATCATTGAGGGTGTTCTAGGGATTATTAAGGGTGATCTAGGGATCATTGAGGGTGTTCTAGAGATTATTAAGGGTGATCTAGGGATCATTGAGGGTGCTCTAGGGATCACTGAGGGTGTTCTAGGGATTATTAAGGGTGATCTAGGGATCATTGAGGGTGCTCTAGAGATCATTGAGGGTGTTCTAGGGATTATTAAGGGTGATCTAGGGATCATTGAGGGTGTTCTAGGGATTATTAAGGGTGATCTAGGGATCATTGAGGGTGTTCTAGGGATTATTAAGGATGATCTAGGGATTATTAAGGGTGATCTAGGGAACATTGAGGGTGCTCTAGGGATCACTGAGGGTGTTCTAGGGATTATTAAGGATGATCTAGGGATCACTGAGGGTGTTCTAGGGATTTTTAAGGGTGATCTAGGGATCATTGAGGGTGTTCTGGGATTATTAAGGGTGCTCTAGGGATCATTGAGGGTGTTCTAGGGATTTTTAAGAGTGCTCTAGGGATCATTGAGGGTGTTCTAGGGATTATTAAGGGTGATCTAGGGATCATTGAGGCTGCTCTAGAAGTCCTTTTGGTGCTTCTGCTCATCAATGATGAGGTTGTGGTGATATTTTGAGTAGGTTTTAAGAGTCCCTGAGAACTTTCTAGAAGTGGTGGTTCTAGTCAGCGAGGATGTTCTTGGAGTAATTGTGGTGGTTATAGAGACCTTTAGGGTTGTTCTAGTGACCGTTGAGGAGGTTTTAGGGGACAGTTAGGTGGTGCTAGTGGTCTGTGAGGAGGTTCTACTGGTCCTTTAGGTGGTTCTTGAGATCCTTAAGGTGGGGACATTGTAGGGATCCTTTAGGTGGTTCTAGTCAACTAGAGGGTTCATAAGCTCATTGAGGTGGTTTTAGTGATCCTTAAAGTTGTTCTGGTGATTACTGAGGAGATTGTAGAGGACCTTCAGGTGGTTCTAGTGGTTGCTGAGGATGTTCTAGTGATCCTTTTAGGTGGTCAGTGAGAGGGGTTTTGAGCTCATTGGGGTGGATGTAGAAATCCATGAAGTTATTTCAGTGATCACTCAGGAGATTGTAGAGGACTCTCAAGTGGCTCCCCTGGTCAATGCAGAAGTTCTACTGGTCCTTTCAGTGGCTCTAGAGGTCACTGAGGAACTTCTATGGATTTTTGAGGGAGTTCTTGTCAAATAGGTGGTTCTAGAGATCCTTAAGTTTGTTACTGATCACAAACCAGGTTGCAGAGGACCCTCAGGTGGTTCTAGTGGTAAATGAGGAGGTTCTAGTTCTCCCATGTGTGGTTCTAGTCAATAATGAGGTTCTTGAGCTCATTGAGGTGGTTCTAGAGATCCTTAAAGTTGTTAGAGTGATCATGGACCAGGTTGCAGGGGACCTTCAGGTGCTTCTAGTGTTCAATGAGGAGGTTGTACTGGTCCTTTAGGTGGTTCTAGAGGTCTCATTGGTGGTTCTAGTCAATAAAGAGGTTCTTGAGCTTATTAGCTCTTTAAGGATCCTTAAAGTTGTTCTAGAGATTGCTGAGGAGGTTATAGAGGACCCTTTAGATGGTTATAGTAGTCACTGAGGATGGTTTAGAGATCATTTAGGTGGTTCTAGTCAATGAGAGGGTTTTTGAGCTCATCTAGGTTTAGAGATCCGTGAAGTTGTTTCAGTGATCACCGAAGAGGTTGTAGAGGACCCTCCGGTGGTTCTGCTGGTCAATGAAGAGCTTCTACTGGTCGTTTAGGTGGGTCTAGAGGTCACTGAAGAAGTTCTAAGAATTGTTGAGGGGGTTCTAGTTAATTGGGAGGTTCTTAAGGTCAGTGAAGTGGTTCTAGAGATCCTTAAGGTTGCTCTGTTGATCACTGAGGAGGTTGTAGAAGATCTTGAGATCGTTCTAGTGGACAATGAAGAGGTTGTGTTGGTCGTTCAGCTGATTCTTGAGGCCCATGAGGTTGTTATTGTCACTGAAGAGATTCTTGAGGTAATTGAGGTGGTTCTAGAGATCCTTAAGGTAATTCTTTAAAATGTGTTTTTATTGGAGAAGTTCACTGTTGACAAATGTTTACATATTGCATATAAATGCTAAATCCTTAAAGTGTGACCTAAATCTGATTACACACTGCGTGTCTCTTTAGAGCTGCTGACAGTAGTGACCAGACCTCCACAGTCTCCCAGACATCAGCCGTTTACTACCATCCACCCTGGCCAGCAGCCCCTGACCCCCGATGGAGTTCTGCCACCCAGCCCTCACCACTCCCCCTGCTCCCCGCAGAGGAGCAGCCCTGGAGGTGAGGGGGGAGGAGGGGGAGGCGAGGGAGGATGTGGGGCTCTCCTCCAGCTCCTGGCGGGTGGCCCCAGCCCTCTGCCCTCCCCCCGCTGCTCCAGCCTCAGCCACAGCCTGAGGTTCAACTCCGACCCCGACACCGCACCGTCACCGCCCTGCAGCCAGCAGTACATACAGTGAGTCTGTCCGCACTGACCGGTCTCATGTTAAGTGAACTGAACCAGGATCAGATTCTATGGACAATGAGTTTGTATGTGTATTTTAATGCCATATTTAGCCTTTATTATTGGCACCAATATTCAAGTGTCCACATACTTTTGGCCATGTACTGTATTTTAAGCCCATCTAAGAGGATGGTGGAGGTTTAGCAAAGTTCCAGGTTATCAAACATGTTTTTCGTGTTTTAAATGATTCAGAAGCTTTTATGTTCCTTGTTTTTGAGCGACGGAGGACCGATTTCTATTTGAGGAAACATTTTAAAGAAAATCCGACGATTTGTCTCAGTTCAGCTCCACAAACATCCTGTTACATGATGGTATTAAAGTATTTTAAATAGAGAGAGCAGCTCCATCTGTCTGTCTGCATCTCATATAATCCATCCAGTTCTTCTTCCACCATCATCATGTCTCGATAACACTGATGTGATTCTAAACTGTTTGTGTTTGTGTCCAGGTGTCGGGGTCGGGACCGGGCCGAGGGCTCGGAGGACCAGGAGTGTCCCTCCTCCATCCCGTTCCTCACCAGACAGATTCAGATGCTGAAGAAGAAGGTCCGCAGGTTTGAGGATCAGTTTGAGCAGGAGATGAACTACAAGGTAAACACAGCAGGGACCAGGACTCCATAATCCATAATCTAACCCAGGGTCCAGTGGGGTTCATAAAACAGATTACAAACTCAGAGCACAGTAACTACTAGAAGTTAATGCTTCAAGTTTTCAGGCTGGATGTCTGTCATCCTGTTCTGTAATAATAATGTTGATGGTGTGTGTCTCTGTTCCTCCCCTCAGCCGTCCCACAACGATAAATACTCCAACCCAGAGATGATCCGAGTGATGGGGGAACTGGCGAAGGCTCGCAAACAGCTCAAAGGTAAAACTGTCAGCCTGATGTGTTCATGTCTTTGTTTCCAGATTAGTTAAAAAAGAAAACTAACATTGTTTGCTGATTGAATCCTCCACTCTTTAAAGCTTCGGAGGAACTTTAGGTCCCAGATTAACACAATATTTAATGTGTGACGGTGTGTCCTCTGCAGAGATGAGGCTCAGACAGTCGGTGTTTGAGTCGAAGGAGCCAGACGGTCCAGGAAACACCTGCAGGTAACACCCACACACCAACACACCCACTGCACATGGACTCAGTGTGGTCCTCAGGTCAGATCCATCAGTGTCAATGTGTCCTGCAGGTATGGCTCCGGCCAGCAGGGAGCGCCGGACCACAAACCCACACTGGAGGAGACGGTGGAGTCTCTGTTCAGACGGCTGAGAGAGAAGAGACAGGCTCTGGGCCTGCCAGACAACATGAAGGTCACAGAATCCAAAATTCATCCTCACCACACTCATTTGTTCCTGCTGTGTTTTATTCTGCTTTGCTGCACTTATATGACTTCACACACTGAGGTCGACAACTGACAGTTGTGAGTGCAGTATGTATTTACCCTCACCGGCCACTTTATTAGGTACACCTTGCTGGTACCAGGTTGGACCCCCTTTTTTAATTCTTGGTGTCACAGATTCAACAAGGTGCTGGAAACATTCCTCAGAGATTTTGGTCCATATTGACATGATGACATCACATTGAGATTGAGATCTGGTGACTGTGGAGGCCATTGGAGTACAGTGAACTCAGTGAATCAAGTACAACTGTCACAGTATGGACAGTGACACGCACTGAAAGGCAGAGCACATTGACATGCATCCTCCCCAGACCCTGTTTAATGTTTGCCCTGTTTTATTCCCCGTGTGCAGGAGATGACTCAGGCTCAGATGGTGTTGGAGAAGATCACTCTGCAGAAATGTCTGCTCTACTTTGAGAGTGTACACGGGCGGCCGGTGAGTCGTCACCAGCTCTTCAATAAACTGTACAGGAACAGGAAATACAAAGCTGATGGAGAGGAGGACTGAAGAGCGAATACTCCTTAACACGTGGAAATATAAAGAGAATATTTTTTCTGCTTCTCAGAAAGATCGTTGAACAAAATAAGACAAAATAATATACAGTACAGGCCAAAAGTTTGGACACACCTTCTCATTCAATGCGTTTTCTTTATTTTCATGACTATTTACATTGTAGATTCTCACTGAAGGCATCAAAACTATGAATGAACACATATGGAGTTATGTACTTAACAAAAAAAGGTGAAATAACTGAAAACATGTTTTATATTCTAGTTTCTTCAAAATAGCCACCCTTTGCTCTGATTACTGCTTTGCACACTCTTGGCATTCTCTCCATGAGCTTCAAGAGGTAGTCACCTGAAATGGTTTTCCAACAGTCTTGAAGGAGTTCCCAGAGGTGTTTAGCACTTGTTGGCCCCTTTGCCTTCACTCTGCGGTCCAGCTCACCCCAAACCATCTCGATTGGGTTCAGGTCCGGTGACTGTGGAGGCCAGGTCATCTGCCGCAGCACTCCATCACTCCCCTTCTTGGTCAAATAGCCCTTACACAGCCTGGAGGTGTGTTTGGGGTCATTGTCCTGTTGAAAAATAAATGATGGTCCAACTAAACACAAACCGGATGGGATGGCATGTCGCTGCAGGATGCTGTGGTAGCCATGCTGGTTCAGTGTGCCTTCAATTTTGAATAAATCCCCAACAGTGTCACCAGCAAAACACCCCCACACCATCACACCTCCTCCTCCATGCTTCACAGTGGGAACCAGGCATGTGGAATCCATCCGTTCACCTTTTCTGCGTCTCACAAAGACACAGCGGTTGGAACCAAAGATCTCAAATTTGGACTCATCAGACCAAAGCACAGATTTCCACTGGTCTAATGTCCATTCCTTGTGTTTCTTGGCCCAAACAAATCTCTTCTGCTTGTTGCCTCTCCTTAGCAGTGGTTTCCTAGCAGCTATTTGACCATGAAGGCCTGATTGGCGCAGTCTCCTCTTAACAGTTGTTCTAGAGATGGGTCTGCTGCTAGAACTCTGTGTGGCATTCATCTGGTCTCTGATCTGAGCTGCTGTTAACTTGCGATTTCTGAGGCTGGTGACTCGGATGAACTTATCCTCAGAAGCAGAGGTGACTCTTGGTCTTCCTTTCCTGGGTCGGTCCTCATGTGTGCCAGTTTCGTTGTAGCGCTTGATGGTTTTTGCGACTCCACTTGGGGACACATTTAAAGTTTTTGCAATTTTCCGGACTGACTGACCTTCATTTCTTAAAGTAATGATGGCCACTCGTTTTTCTTTAGTTAGCTGATTGATTCTTGCCATAATATGAATTTTAACAGTTGTCCAATAGGGCTGTCGGCTGTGTATTAACCTGACTTCTGCACAACACAACTGATGGTCCCAACCAAATTGATAAAGCAAGAAATTCCACTAATGAACCCTGATAAGGCACACCTGTGAAGTGGAAACCATTTCAGGTGACTACCTCTTGAAGCTCATGGAGAGAATGCCAAGAGTGTGCAAAGCAGTAATCAGAGCAAAGGGTGGCTATTTTGAAGAAACTAGAATATAAAACATGTTTTCAGTTATTTCACCTTTTTTTGTTAAGTACATAACTCCACATGTGTTCATTCATAGTTTTGATGCCTTCAGTGAGAATCTACAATGTAAATAGTCATGAAAATAAAGAAAACGCATTGAATGAGAAGGTGTGTCCAAACTTTTGGCCTGTACTGTATATGAAGGATTTCTGTTTTTAAAGCACCTCTGCAGGGAAAAATGTCAAAGAAATATTAAAGTTATATCACACCAGCTGTGTGTCTGTCTACACCTCAGGCCAGTTCGATAGATAGTTAGTTGATTAGTTAGTTTTACGCTAGGTAGTTTGGTAATGTTTGTGTCATTTGTTGTGCAGTTAGTTAGTTAGTTAACTTGGTAGCTAGTTAGTAAGTTACATTGTGCAGTGAAATGCTCTGTTACTCCTTTCAGTAATATCGAACATGTACAGCAGAGAAAATATAAACAACAAAGATACGGTCATATGTCCAAAAAATATGAACTATGAATATGTTTTATATGATTTAATTAAATGCAAATTTGAAATACACGGAATTATAAAAGCTGTCCAGAGATCAGAGGGCAAATATAAGGATTTAATGGAGCATAATGAAAGTGAAATAAATTTAATGGGTCGACACCTTTTGACCCTTTTTTTCAAAGCATCAGTGGTTCTGCAGGACTTTAACAGTACTGCTGCAGTTTACTGCCCCTCAGATTCATCTGCAGCCACTGAGACGTTGCTATGGTAACGCCTGTCTGTCTGTCTGTCTGTCTGTCTGTCTGTCTGTCTCTCTCAGGGAGGTAAACAGGAGAAGAACCTGGTGAAGCCTCTGTACGACAGATACCAGATGATCAAACGTTTACTGTGTGCCAGCCCGACTATCCCCACTATAGTGAGAAACACACACACACACACACACACACACACATTTTCACTGTCTACTGTTGAGTCATCATCACACTGGTAACATGCTAACATTACATTCAGCGTGACTTACACTTCCTGAGGATATAATTATCTCTGATGTGCATCCAGGAAGAAGAAGATGGTTCTGATGAAGACTCAATGAGCTCCTCGACAGTCAAAGAACTTCCCGTCCCACCTCCTGGCAGAGCGGCACGACCTGCTGCCGGCGAGGAGGACAGCGACCGGGACAGTGACCCGGCTTTCGTGTCCCCATTAGACGAGGTGAAAGCCGTCCATCAACAACCTGCTCTCACCATGGCCAACCTGCACGAAGCATCCAGGTCTGTATGTTTGTTTAATTTAATTTTATTAATTTAATGTTTTTTAATTTTTTAATTTTATTAATCCCCAAGGGGGAAATTCAATGTTTTCACTGTGTTGTCATATACATACACACACAGGCCCGAAATACACATACACACATGCACAAACAGAACTTTTACATGCATTAAATGGAGAGATGTCAGAGTGACATTACAACACTGGAGGTTCTGGTTTCACTTCAGCTCTCTGTGGACAGAGATTCAGAAGTTTGCTGATCCAGAGATTTTTACGTAGCTGCTTCACAGTAAAACATTTTCATCAGAGTCTGGGAAACGAATCAGGGTTTAGCTTGGTCTTTATGTGTGCAGCATCAGTCTTGGTGGTTTCTCCTTCTCCTCCAACATTAACCTCTTTGCTCTGTGCTCAAACCGAACCAGGTCTCAACTGCTGCAGTGTCTGCGGGAAACAAGGGCGGAGAAGAAGACGAGACGTAAAGTTCTGAGAGAGTTTGAAGACGAGTTTTACCGCCAGACTGGAAGGTGAGAGACGACTCAAACAGGGCGTCCTCAAACTGACTCAAGGCGGAGCCAGCTTTAACAAATGTATTTATTGTTGGATAGCTTAATCTATAATGATCAGAATTTGCAGAGCTACCTGATAGACAAGTTGTCTGATAAATGCAGTATGATAACTGTCATTTGCATCTGAAACAGAAGGAGCTGAATCCCTCCATATTTGACCTTTCATTAAGTCCCGCCCCTTTGTGATGGTCCGACAAGCTGTCAGAGTAATCATGGAGCCCACACTGTAACTAATTGCACTCCCTGAAGAAATATGATCATTTATTTGGAAAAATGAAAGAGTGATTCCAGAGAGAAGCAGACAGAGGGGTGTACAATCTGTGTTTGAAGGATATATCCAGGATGTCAAACTGACTCAGCAGCAACAACAGGTTAAAAAGACAAAGATAGTTAGAAGCTAAAGCCGAACTATAGGCTACAGCATATCAGCAAAACTTACCTACTTCCCTTCACTGGTTCCTGTACAGCAGGGTCGGTCTTTGTTTCACTGTTAGAATCAGTAAAAAGCAAAAGCAGCATGTGTATACATTCAGTAGGCTATATCTTCAGTAGCTAGCTAGCTAACCCTACACTTTTCAGGGTCTGATTTTGGTTTTGGAATAGGGAAGAAACGTATATCTTTTTCCAGATAACAACGAATACACGACGAACTCCAGGCACAACATTTAGCTCCAAATCCACAAAACCAGCCTGAAAATGAAGGAAATCTGAAGCGACTGCATTAGTCAATGGAGCACAGCTATTTTGTTGTCGGACTGATGTTACGTTATTATTTGCCAGTCTGTGTCCAGGGGCAGGACTTAGCTAAGGGTCAGTTTCCAAAATATTCAATTAAAGTTCAAGTTCTTCATATTTACAGTATCTTATTTGTATTTCTACTCCACTACATTTGCACATTAAAATTGTAAATACAAATGACAGATATTACTATTACTATTATACTAAGATATTTTAGGGATATATATAAATGAGTTGGATAGTACCATAATTGTGTGTTTTTTAATGTAAACATTATACGAAATCTGTAGTTGTAAAAGAGAAATGCCTTTTTTCTTTTCTTGTAAATCAAGAATCCTTAAAGCGGTGATATGTGACTTTTAAAAGAAGACATAGCACATTCATTCAGTCACAAATGAGCTGAATTCACAATAAAACATGCTGAGTTGAACACACTCAGGGGTTTTGCCGCCTCAGCCTTACTTTGACGTTGCATTTTTAGACTTACATTGATTATAACATTTTTATCTCTAACATTCAAAGATATAAAATTCAGTATGTTGTTCCTATATATTTTGTTAGTTATACATATTTGACAGAGAACAATTTGTTGTTGTTGATGGCGTCATGTCAGAAAGCTTCTTTGGAGTGCCACAGGGATCTATACTGGGCCCGTTGCTTTTTTTCTTTCTATTTAAGTCAGTAATACAGCAATTTTTGTTTGTTTTAATTCCTCTGGAGTTTCACTGATACTCTTACATTTTATTGACAGAATCTGTCAAAAAGAGGATCGTACTCCGATGAAGGAGGAATACCAGGAATACAAACAGCTCAAGGCGAAACTCCGTCTTCTGGAAGTCCTTCTAAGCAAACAGGAAGTCCCTAAAACCATGTGAGAGGAAACTGAAGCTCCCCAAAACACTTGAAAACTTTTAATGTGATTATCTGAGAGCAGAAAAGGTCTTTTTATGTGCTTCTGTTCAGAGAAGAGGAAGTGGTGAAAGGATTGTGTTTTGGCTGAGGCCACGCTTTTTCCTTGCCATTATTTAAATACACCCTATTTCAGCTATGTTAGCTGCATAGCTCAAGAAATAACATCAGTCGGTTATAGTTTGATCATCTTTGACCTCATTATTCAGTGTTTTGTTTTAGGTTCAAAGCCGTTATAATTTGTCATATCCATCAAGAAATACGCTGATTTAAAAGAATAGTTCAACATTTTGGGAATCCATTTATCTGTTTAAATTGATAACACTCTCATGTCAGTACAGTAAATGTGAAGCTAAAGCCAAGGCTGGTTAGCTAAGCATAGCATAAAGCCTGGAAACAGCTAGCCTAGCTCCTAGCATGCTACCGTGACATACTAAATGTGTCACGGAAGCATCTTAATGTTAGTCTTGTGGACGTTAACCACCATATTTAATGTTAACATGCTAAATGTTTTAGTCCAATGTTAGCTTAGCCACAACATGACTGCTAAATGTGTTGTGCTAACAAAGGCACAACATAACATGACACAGCTGTATGTAGAACATAGCCAACATACCATGATAATGATCATATATGTTGGACCTTAATAATGAAATGATTACATGCTAACATGCTACCATCAGTGTAATATATTTCCATAACACTGACTCTAACTTTAGCGGGTCAGCATGAAACATTGTAATGTGCTTGCAGTTATCACGTTAGCATACAACAGGAAATGCTACATCCTAAATGTTTCTTAGATTTATCTTGATGTTGTGCTATCATGTTACATTCATACATACATACATACACTAACATACGGTTTTAACATACAAACATTTCTATTTAACAGTCCAATGTTAGCTTAGACACAACTCAGCATGACTCAGCTGTATGCAGAACTAATGCTAACATACCATTGCTCTGCTAATGTGACAGTTGTAAGCATGTTGGGTGTTGATAAGGAAATGTTTACATGCTAACATGCTACCATGACATTAGCATAGTAACTTTAACGTTAGCATGAAAGGTTTAGGATGTTGTAACCTGGTTATCGTGGTAGCATACACCAGGTAATGCTATTGCTGCGTTCAGTTGGTGTCATGTTCACCGTGGTATTCAAAACTTTCAAATACATTTTCTGAGCGCTCCGAGTTCATGACTTTATGTACACGAGTACCCATGTCATAAACTCGAGCTCATGAGTTCCATTTGAACGACACACATTAGCATTAAGTTCTACATTGTCACAGAGAGTTGTGCCTAACCTAATGTTAGCATATTAGGACACATTTAGCATGTTAAGGTAGCATTTTCACATTCAAATGGATTACACCTTTATGTGGTAAAGGACGCTCACAAGTTGGAGGAAACTTTAATTTTTTTCTGTAACGTTACATTTGTGAGTTTTGGACGATAACAGACTTCTCACTACTTCCTCTCCAAACTGTAAAATCTATAAATAACGTTACTCCAGAAAAGTTTTATAAGGTATAAAAAGAGATCTATCTGCCATTCTGTCAGTGGAAACTTGCCTACCAGCATCCTACAGTATTTACCTGCATCAAGTCTGAATTTTGTACAACTGCATTTATTCCAGTCTGCAACGATGAAGACGATTCCAGAGGTAAAATTAACTGCAGACATGCGTTCCCTCCATCTTGTTTGAGTTAACGGACCAAACTATTTTTTTATATGGGACTAAATGTGTGTGTATCGAACTGAGAGCACTTTAATCTGTCACCGGGGGTTTGCAAGATGAAGAAGAAAGTTTGGCTTCCTCTCAACAATATTAAACAACATTCAGAGTTTGCCTCTGAAGGAGCTGATGAGGTTCAACTAAAACGTGTGTTTGGACTAGAAACGTTTGGGACAAAGATGCAATGTACAACTTATTGTTAGTCTTGTGTATGTCAACATATGTTGGAAAATAATGCTTTGGAGAGATGAATGCATTGGTATATATACAGTGCCCTCCAAAAGTATTGGAACAGTGAGTCCAATTCGTTTACTTTTGTTGAAGACTGAAAACATTTGGGTTTGACATCAAAAGATGAATATGAGACAAGAGATCAACATTTCAACTTTTATTTCCAGGTATTTACATCTGGATCTGATACACAACTTAGAAGATAGCATTATTTGTAATGGAACACAAAATTTTTAGGTGAGCAAAAGTATTGGAACATATAAACTTAAAATAGATTAAAGTGAATGAGACTTAATATTTAGTTGCAAATACTTTGCTTTCAATAACTGCATCAAGCCTGTGACCCATTGACATCACCAAACTTTTGCATTCTTCTTTTGTGATGCTTTTCCAGGCTTTCACTGTAGCCTCTTTCAGTTGTTGTTTGTTTTGGGGGGTTACTCCCTTCAGTCTCCTCTTCAGCAGGTAAAATGCATGCTCTATTGGGTTTAAGTCTGGAGACTGACTTGGCCAGTCTAAAACCTTCCACTTCTTGCCCCTGATGAACTCCTTTGTTGTTTTGGCAGTGTGTTTTGGGTCGTTATCTTGCTGCATGATGAAGGATCTCCCAATCAGTTTGGTTGCATTTTTCTTTAAATTAGCAGACAAAATGTTTCTGTAGACTTCTGAGTTCATTTTGCTGCTGCCATCATGTGTTACATCATCAATGAAGATGAAAGAGCCCGTCCCAGAAGAAGCCATGCAAGCCCAAGCCATGACATTACCTCCACCGTGTTTCACAGATGAGCTTGTATGTTTGGGATCATGAGCAGATCCTTTCTTTCTCCAAACTTTCGCCTTTCCATCACTTTGGAAAAAGTTAATCTTTGTCTCATCAGTCCATAAAACTTTTTCCCAGAATTTTTGAGGCTCATCTCTGTACCTTTTGGCAAATTCCAGCCTGGCCTTCCTATTCTTCTTGCTAATGAGTGGTTTGCATCATCTGGTGTAGCCTCTGTACTTTTGTTCATGAAGTCTTCTGCAAACAGTAGATTGTGATACCTTCACTCCTGCCCTCTGGAGGTTGTTGCTGATGTCACTAAAAGTTGTTTTAGGGTCTTTCTTTACAGCTCTCACAATGTTTCTGTCATCAACTGCTGATGTTTTCCTTGGTCTACCTGTTCGACGTCTGTTGCTTAGTACACCAGTGGTTGTTTTCTTCTTCAGGACATTCCAAATGGTTGTACTGGCTATGGCCAATGTTTGTGCAATGGCTCTGATTGATTGTCCATCTTCTCTCAGATTCACAATTGCTTCTTTTTCACCCATAGACAGCTCTCTGGTTTTCATGTTGGTTCCACCTCTAAATGCAGTCTGCACAGGCAAAACCTATAGTACCCAATCTGAAACTGAACTCAGACATCCAGTGCTATTTATTGTTTGAATAATCAATGAAATTGGGAGACACCTGGGCAACAAAACACACCTGTCAGTCACATGTTCCAATACTTTTGCTCTCATGAAAAATGGGTGGGTTCAAACAAAAGGTGCTATCTTCTAAGTTGTGTATCAGATCCAGATGTAAATACCTGGAAATAAAAGCTGAAATGTTGATCTCTTGTCCCATATTCATCTTTTGATGTCAAACCCAAATATTTTCAGTCTACAACAAAAATAAAGGAATTGGCCTCACTGTTCCAATACTTTTGGAGGGCACTGTATATATATATATATATATATATATATATATATATATATCAATATCATAGCACTTTATGTTGAAAAAGGGAAATTATTTTTATCCAAAGTCTAATGTTTAATATGCAATATGGTCCGTTGTTAAAGATCAGTGCTGGTGTTGGTGAACAGGCAGGTGAGCTATTTCCTTGAGACTGAAGAGGTTACATTGCACCTACGGCAGCTACATACGACATTTCAGAAGTTATATCGTCGCCTTCAATGTGGCTTATGCACTGTCAGGGCTGCACGAACTGTGATTGGCTGCTTGTGTTTTCATGTTTGTGATGGAGCTTGTTGAGAGTGAAGATGACAGGAAGGAAGTTAGATTCAGTAGTTTTCTCCTTTTTAAAACAAACGTCAAACAGTGATCATACTGCAGACATTTTGTTAAATGCAAGCCGACGCTCGTCTCCATGGTAACACAGAGAAATCGTGCGTCATCATCTACGTCATATTTGTTGATGTTGCTGCTACAGTGTAGAAAAGCACACCAATCCCGAGCCCGAACAATGGAGTCGACCTTCACATTATAGCCTACTACAGTTTATATTATGGAGACAAGGTCAAGAACGACCTTCTCGCCTACCTTCCTACTGTACCACCCATGGCCTTGCAGTTCAGAGGATGAGATGGGCGAGTGCTACACGTACAGATTTCAAGGGAGCCCAACGGTGCTGAGATATGCCTTTGCAACTCTACGTGCCGACTACTGCTCACGTTAAAAGCAGTCCACTTTCAGGTGTACTACGGTTGGTTTTCACACCTGATGAGAACCGTACCATAGTACACATGTACCAATTGACATAGATCGGCACACTGACAGTGTTCACACTAATTAAAACAACTGGATGTTGGGGTCAGGTGTACTCAGATCTTGCTCTGGGTCCCTGATGTGAAAGCCTCCTGTGTTACAGACGTTTTCATATTAGATACGATGCGATTGATTTGAGAATATGACTGCTGGAAGTTGGATCTTGGTCTGTCTGCCGCTCTGACTTTGCTGCCATGTGATATAAAGGCAACAGTATTAAATTGAAACTGTTAAAATGACTTGTAGTCAAGTTCAATAGCAGTGCAGCTCTGTGTTTTGGTACAGTTGGTATTCACACCTAATGTGTACTGTACCAGGATACACATGAACAGAACTCAAGGTCACCTTTTCAAGTGGACTTGAGTCTGATTGGCGTACTGTGCCCAGGTACAGTACACAGTGTTCACACTAATCAAACGAACTGGACTTTGGGGTCAAGTGAACACAGAACCAAGCCGGGTCCCAGATGTGAAAACCTTCTGTCTCTTTATCATGAAGTCAATGACAGAATGTAAACACGTTACTGTGGGGAATATAACACATCATGTAGAACACATGCGTCTCGTGTTGCGGAGGTGAAATCTGGTGCTCGACTGTAAATCAAAACCTATGCAGTAGATACAGCAGGACTCTTGTTAACCCCTACTGGCCAGTATGAACCCAGATTAAATCCCGAGCTTCGTACGCTCACCCGTCAACCCGACATCCTACCTGAGAAGAAAAGAAAATGCTGCATTTTCATCACAAAACATTGGGAAAACTAAAGAAACCTAATGTCAAGTAGAGAGGGCTGAGTTTAGCCACCAGACAACAAACACCTGGATATATGTGACAGAGGTGAAATATTTTGTGTATCCTTGATGTCGGTGGTAAAATGTGTCTCAAACATTTCCCACTGAGGTAAAATCTTACGACGGTTTTCTGTCCCGAACTTTCATGACACATCAGTGTTGATGTTATGACCTTATCATGCCTGACTTCATGCTGTGATGATAAAAAGTCTCCTGTTGTTGTGCTGTTCTGGTTTGCTTGACAAATTTCTATACAGACAAGTTTAAAATAAATATTTTTGCTATCAACAGAATTTTGTCATTTTTATTGTAATACTTAGAATAAGAACAATTACTATAAAGTTACATGCAGACGTTTGGGCACCCCTGGGCAAAGTTTAGTTTACTGTGGAAAAACTCAGCAAGTAAAAGATGAACTGATTTCCAAAAGACAAAATGTTAAAGATGACACTTTTCTTTAATATTTTAAGCAAGACTAATTGTTCATTTAAACCTTTTACAGTTTCAAAATAACAAAAAAATAGGTGTGGGCCCCCTGCATGGTCAGTGCTCAGTAGCGCCCCCTTCTTCTAAACCCTGTTTGTATCCAGCTCAGAGTCTTTGAGTTCTTGTTTGGAGGATTTCTTCTTGGGCCGTCTTCATGCTCTGCTCTTTGAGCTCTATCCACAGGTGTTTAATGATGTTTAGGTCGGGGGACTGTGAGGGGCGTGGCCTAACCTTCAGCTGGCTCCTCTTGAGGTCATCCATTGTGGATTTGGAGGTGTGTTTAGGATCATTGTCCTCTCTTCAACTTCAGCTGTTTTACAGATGCTGTGATGTCTGGAATTTAACTGAATCCATTATTCCCTCTACCTGTGAAATGTTCCCCGTGTCACTGGAGCATCATCCATCCACCCCCGTCTGTAACAGGTGGACAGGTGTCCCTTTGTCTCATCCATCCACCTCCGTCTGTAACAGGTGGACAGGTGTCCCTTTGTCTCATCCATCCACCTCCGTCTGTAACAGGTGGACAGGTGTCCCTTTGTCTCATCCATCCACCTCCGTCTGTAACAGGTGGACAGGTGTCCCTTTGTCTCATCCATCCACCTCCGTCTGTAACAGGTGGACAGGTGTCCCTTTGTCTCATCCATCCACCTCCGTCTGTAACAGGTGGACAGGTGTCCCTTTGTCTCATCCATCCACCTCCGTCTGTAACAGGTGGACAGGTGTCCCTTTGTCTCATCCATCCACCTCCGTCTGTAACAGGTGGACAGGTGTCCCTTTGTCTCATCCATCCACCTCCGTCTGTAACAGGTGGACAGGTGTCCCTTTGTCTCATCCATCCACCTCCGTCTGTAACAGGTGGACAGGTGTCCCTTTGTCTCATCCATCCACCTCCGTCTGTAACAGGTGGACAGGTGTCCCTTTGTCTCATCCATCCACCTCCGTCTGTAACAGGTGGACAGGTGTCCCTTTGTCTCATCCATCCCCGTCTGTAACAGGTGGACAGGTGTCCCTTTGTCTCATCCATCCACCCCCGTCTGTAACAGGTGGACAGGTGTCCCTTTGTCTCATCCATCCACCCCCGTCTGTAACAGGTGGACAGGTGTCCCTTGGTTTCACTGTGTCCAGAAAGTGTCCTCAGGACTTGTTTCCAAAAAGCATCAGGCTTGTCTCGATGTTCCTTCACAAACTTGTGAGTCTGAATTTAGTGGTGAGGACACAGGAAAGGTTTTCTTGTG